TGCGAAAAGTACTACCCATCCTACTATCGGGCAGAGATGGAGCGTCAGTTCTTAGCGCTTCAGCAGGGCACTCGTACTGTTGATGAGTACGAGCGAGAGTTCACTAGACATGCAGCTTTCGTACCAGATCTGGTTCGCACGGAGGCTCAGAGAGCGCAACGGTTCATTGACGGGCTTTTCCCAGAAGTCCGTCACAACATCGTGGGACACGGGACTCAGACCTACGCTCGTGCAGTTTCTATCGCCCAGGAGGTGGACGCTAGCATCAGGAGAGAGGCAGTTCGTGATCGTGCCCAGCCATCTGCCCCAGTTCAGCCATTCGCAGCTCCACCAGCTCTACCAGCCCCTCAGCCGGCAAAGGAGAAGAAGAGGAAGGGAAAGGGTGCACAGACTGACCGGAGGACCCGACAGAGACAGCAACGGATTCCACCGTGCCCGACTTGTGGTCGACTTCATCGGGGAGAGTGCCATGTGGGACAGGACATCTGCTATTACTACCACGAGCTGGGACATTTTACAAGTCGCTGTCCGAAGAGACTCCAGCAGCAGCCTCAGCAGCCTGAGCAGCCACCACAGCAGCAACAGCCACGTCAGCAGGTACAAAGACCACCTCAGCAGCAGCAGCAGCAGAGGGGCAGGCAGCAGGCCAGGGTTTACGCGGTTGATCAGGCGGAGGCAGCACAGCAGCCAGGTACTATGTCAGGGATGGTTGTTCTCAATGATATTCCTGTGTTTGCTGATACTGGAGCGGCACATACTTTCATTTCACGATGATGTCTCGATTCCATTGGAGTTCATGCCGTTACCGCTGTCGATCCTCTCGAGGTGAGTTTAGCCTCGGGACGAAATATAGTGACCTCAGCCAAAGCCTCAGATCTTAGCCTTTCCATCGGTGGCCGAGTATTAACTGCCGACGCGTTTGTTCTCGAGATGAGGGACTTCGACCTTATTCTCGGGATGGATTGGCTATCCTTTTATCATGCAGATATCAGGTGTCATGACCGGGAGATCACTCTCTGTTTTTCGGGAGACGAGTCGATTACTTTCTTCGGCTCCAAGAATCGTTCACTGCCTCAGGTTGTTTCGATGGCGAAAGCCACTAAGCTATTGCGACGAAGCAACTGCCAGGGTTACCTGGTGAGCCTTGTTGAGGATTCCCAGAAAGCGCGGACACCGCATGATGTTCCAATTGTTCGCGAGTTTGTGGACGTATTCCTTGACGAGCTTCCAGGAGGACCGCCCAACCGTCAGGTGGAGTTTTCTATCGATCTTATCCCAGGGGCCGGTCCAGTATCCAAAGCCCCATATCGCATGGAGCCTAAGGAGTTGCAAGAGCTTAAGACCCAGATTCAGGAGCTGTTACAACTCGGTTTCATCCGACCGAGTGTGTCACCTTGGGGAGCACCCGTTCTCTTTGTTAAGAAGAAGGACGGATCCATGCGAATGTGTATTGACTACCGGGATATTAACCGGTTGACGATCAAGAATAAGTATCCGCTTCCCAGGATCGACGACTTATTTGATCAGTTGAGGGGAGC